CGGTGGTACTTTAGCCTTGGTTTAGTCCGGTGGTACTTTAGCCTTGGCTTAGCTAAATATTCCCTCGTATTTTACCCCTCGTTTAGTCAATCTTTTTCACTGGATCAAATCCACATTAAATGTGGATTTGATCATGCCCTATAACTATGACCTGAAGAGCTCGTCTCTTGGCCATCCATATATAGCTGTAGAAGTATTTTAATAGCTCTTCCTCCCTGGCAGAAAGATACATGTCTAATACTTTTTCCAGTTGCTCCAGTGTTGGAAATATTTAGGACATTGAACTCATCATTTATACCAATTTGTTTACTTGCACATACATGTAAATGTGACTTCAGCCTACTCTTGCCTGGTTGGCCTGAACGCTGTGCCTCTTCAGCACGGAGCGGAGTCGGGACGGATGGAGGGAGAGCTCGGACTCACCGCTCTCAGCAAGACCTCGTTTCACACCACAGCCATGCAAGTGAAAGAACGGTGAAAAAGACTTGTGGACTGATAGACATACTGTTGACTGTGAACATGGGGGGCAGGTCAGTAATTGAAAGGTTTCCATTGGTTCTAACAGCCGTCACTCATCACTTAAACGAGGTTTGTCACGGGGCAGCTTTCATGTCCCACCAACCTAAATGTTCCTTTAGTCAGAGCAATAATAACTGAACCAGTGTTAGCTTAAATCAAGTTGTAAATGTAGTTCAGTCAACAACGCAGTTCCCAAAATGTCAAACTATACCTTTTTTAATGTTGTTTTTATTATTTTTATTTTATAAATTATTCCCACAAATGTGTGCATCAGCTTTGCCTAGCGTGAGACGGTTCAGTGGGTTCTAACATAATGTGAAATGAAAGAGTCTGTTTGCTTCTAAGTTGGTGTAAAACATCCGAAAAGTTCATCCTGCCAAATGTCTGATCGTTTGCTAACGCCTGTTAAAAGTCCGCTCTGTAATTCCTCTCAACTGTTGTTGGATGTTGTGTGTTTTTGATGCGATGTGTTGGTTCGGGATGGATGGACGTGATGGGAACAGTCGCTCAGTGTAAGCTCCTACGCGTAAGCCCGCTTTCTCACAGTTTGACAGCAAGCAGTGAGATGAAGAAGGACAAACAGGGCAGCTACTGCGTCACACCAACGTTATCTGGATCGCTGGCTGTGCAGCTGTCAGGCGCTCAATCTCAGGGACCTAAACTCCACTAGTCTAAAAATACTGACATGCCATCAGTGTCTAACTGAAGAACAGATGGTGATGTGAAAGTCAGGCTGACGTATACATTCTTTAGGTCAGTGCATCCGTTTAATTCAAACATTATGCTAATGGTGTCAGCAGTTTGAAGTGTCCATGTTAAAGGAATGCTTCACCCACACAATGATCATTTTTACATCAGTTGCTCACCCCATGTCTCCTTCAATCCTTGAAGAAAACTTAGTTTTTCTCCAATGCCTCCATGGTGAACGGAGGATCAAAGATCCAGATAGATTGAAGTCAACGGGGCAGCGTCAACGGCAAAACTATATCAAAACATCCGTCTGCAAACTTTATGCGCAGGTGTTTTAAAGAGCTCTGTTTGAGCGGAGATGCATCTGTTTGGGAAGTAGTGAGCTGGATGAATGGATGAGCTGCACAAGTTGCGTGAGTTTGTAAATGGATGTTTTGATAAAGTTGTGAAAATGAAGTATTCCTTTAAGGCAGCGATGGGGCACACTCGTGATATCGGGCTGTATAAATACAACTGAACTGACAACGGCCAGTTGATGAAGGAACTCAGCGGGCTTAGCTCTCTTAGCTCTCGTGGTACCCAGTGACGCGGATGGTCTTGGTTTATGTGAACAGGTTTTTGAGATATCTGTCTCTTTAGTGAAATAATGTAATGTAGTCTGTGATAATGTGATAATGTGATAATATGTCAGACTGGAGACATGAAAACTGAATAACATTCTACTGAACTGAGCTGGAGGCTGAACTGGAGGGACGGAAAGAGACAAAGACAACCCAAACTGTTTGCATGTAGATGGTGAGGAAATCTGTTTGATTCTTTTAAATCATTTTTGGTGAACAAAGTCTGAGTAAGTAAAGCATAAGTTAAAGAAAAGGCATTCAGGTCCCGGTTTAGTGAAATGACGACTCACCTGCAGGCAGACACTGGTGATTTGAATTGTTTTGTACTCTTCATACTTCATGGGATTTGAAAGATGATCCAGATCACGTGGATGTTTCTCCTCTGACACACGTTAACGGACTCGTTGCTTCAGATGCACCAGTTTATTACAGGACGGTTTAATACAACATGCTCTTTTGTTTTCCTGTATCTGTAAACTTGCATCATTTTGAATTGTGGTACCATGTGTGGTTCTTTAAAAATGATTATTAAAAGGTTTCTTTTTTTATTCAGTTAGTCTGTTGCTCTTGGAAAGAGACGAAAAGTTTTTTTTATTCCCAGGAGTTGAAAAGTTTTTCACTAAAAGTGACAAATAATCACCGTTGATGAAGCGCTGTTCTTACTTCCAGTGAAGTTTTGGTAGAACAGCTTTTATGTGGTCACATGATTAATTACATGTATAACTAGCCAATCAGACGCGTGGATTCAGCCCACATCTGCCCCACTGTTCATTCTTTAAAAACTAATGTTTCCTTTATTCTGTGAACTCTTTTATGTGAATAATATATATATATATGTATGTATGTATATGTATATATGTGTATATATATGGATATATGGATGTATGTGTATGTATATATATATGTGTATGTATGTGTATGTATGTGTATGTATGTATATATATATATATATATATAT